CGCCCCACTCGACGGTGGTTGCACACAAAAGAGCAACCTCGTCCATTCTTCTCTCTTTCTCGTTCAGTAAATTCGTTTGAATGAAAAAACAATTAACGCGATAAACCGCGAGCGTTTCGTTGTCTCGAATACACCGGTTCGGCCGCTTAAAATTTCTCGCTGAAATTCGATCCTTCACCGGATAACGATAACAATTTCACGCGATCCTATATAATACATACATATATATACGTACGTATACACAGCAAGTTTCGATCGTTTCGTTTCGCCTCCCTTTTCAATTTTCATACGAGGCAAACCACGCGATCCGGAGGCGTGATTACGCGGCCGCATCTACGTGACGTGATTGTGTCGTCTTTATCGGGCCGATCGAATGCTGCGCGTACCGTTCCATTATTGAAATTACGAAAGAGCGAGCAATTGGAGAAGGAGATATCGTTACGTTTCGAACGATATCTTCGTCGTCGTCGTTCTACGGCCCGGACGAAGAAGCGTCGACCGATTAAAGGTCGTTCACACGTGCACCACTGCAAGAAGAAGGTGTTTCCCCCCCGTGCAGAGGCGCGTGCATCGCGGAGGAACGTTCCACGTAGCCTGGGACCCGTTATCTCCTGCGCTCTTACTCCCGTCTGACCCCTTTATCAGAAGGTTTTGGTCCGGTCCGGCACGTGGCTGAACAGCCACTTATCTCCGCCAGACGACAGGTGAAGAGAGATGAAATTTGATTATCGAACGATATTCCGAACGTTGGAATCTTTTTTCTTTCTTACCTGTTGCGATTTGCGTGTAATCGAGAGATAAACGGTGACACGGCGGGACGTATTTATAGTCGTGACTGAAACGGTACGACGACTCGACGCGATTTTAATATCGACGGAGCGAGAGGTGTCTGGAGGAAAATTTCGAAGCTGATCTAATCGCCGGAGTGTATCGGGTAGTCTAATTAAATTCGCTGAATTTTATGCTACACGAAGATGCTTTCCAAATAGAGATTTGACTTGTTAATAGACGTTCACCGAGAGGAACGAAAATATCTTAATAAGTACACATTGTGTTTGATAATTCATGGCTTTCTTTGCTACGAGATTAAGTTCCCGGTGTAATCAAGATTCCGTAATAAATTCATTTCTACCAATAAACTGTGCTGTAAATCTTCACGTTATTAAACTAGGAATTCACAGAAGATGCTCGATTAACATTCCCGTGAAATAAAGTCCCTTATCTTGTCCAATTAATTAAGCGTCATTTCCATTAAGCGACGTCTCTTGACAAAGTTCAATTTCTCTTCTACAATTCGCCAAAAAAAAAAAAAAAGAAAAAAGAAGAACATGTAGTACACAAAGGAGAGGGTAGCGGAAGAATTTTAATTCGGCCGGATTCCGCGCGAGCGCGAATCGGCCGCAGCGCGGAGCAATTTATTTATTGGAGAAAGTGCTCGAGGGCCTGGAGGGCTGCTGTCCTAAGCAGGATTCAATTTGGTCACTGGCCACCGATTCCACCTTCAAAGAGGAATCACCGTCCTCTATATAGGCCTCCCTCGTCGACGTGCAGCACAGGCTCGGTCACCGGCCTTCGCTATTAATCTTATATCGAACGCTTTATCCGCGTCCGCTTCCTTCACGGACTTTTCCTCCCCTTTCCCTCGTTCTCCTTTTCCACAAGCCCGGTCACCCGACCTCTTCAACCCTTGGACGAGCAGGAATTTTCAATTCTTTCGAGTACCGCGGCAAAGCAGATTGCCTCCCGGTCTCTCCTCGCGAGTCCATTCGAACGACGAAATTTCACGTCCCACCTGGACGCTTCGAGGATGCGTTTCGGGGTGAAATTGCGCGGTACGTGACACTAATGTTCGTTAACAGAAGTCGTGGAGAACTGCAGTAGACACTGGGAATTCGAGAGAATCGATGGAAAGGGTAGAAGTGATTTTAAGAGGAATTTTACGTTACGAGGGAATGCAAGGAATGAAACTAGAGTAAATTGCTTTATTTATTGATACTTACGTTTTGCAGATTATTTTAGACATGGATCGATGGTTATCTGGTTCTCCTATCGATTCGAATCGTGTATCGTATTAATAATAGAATTGAATTTTGTATTATCTACAGGTAGATGGTGCGTCATTTGATATTTCGCAAACTACGATCGATTTCTACGATCGTTCCAACTTTTCGCTATTCTTCGAAATCAATCGACCGTTCGAGCCAATTATGTTTCACTCTGAATCGTAACGTACGTTCCCACCAGACGATCCGCAGACGTTCTAATTACACCCTGTGCTCGATATTGTCCGAGGGAGAGAACAGCCGGAGACAGGATCCGCGCTCTTCCCGTGTCCGTGGTCCTCGGCGATTAATCGCGCACGGAAATGGAAGGACGTGGAAACGAGCGTGGTCGCTTCTGGCAGGACATTGGCCAGGACGAATAAGTAATGTAGAGGTCCATTATGCTGAAACGGTGAAGGGTCTTCGAGCAGGGTCAGCCAATCCCCGGGAGGGCCGTTAAAGTGAAATACTTCTGAATGCAAGGTGGCTGACCGCCTCTCACACCCCTCCTTCTTCCTCTTTCGCCTTTCCTTTCTTTTTTTTTCCCTCTCTATGGTCCCCGTTGGACCCTCGTAGCTCGTACGAATCCATAGGTAAATCGTTGTTATCTGGACAGTGATAAACCCGTGAATGGAGTTCGCGCCTGCTGGACGAATGAACGAGGGGAATGCAAAGGGGGAAAACCGAACCTATCGGGGGGGGCCGAACCAAATGGATGGCTCTGTTTATGCGAACTGCTCGAGTTTGCCTCGGATTTCGTGAGTTCATTTTTTCCAACTTGTGAAACGGGGTTGTTCCTCGGGTTGTCTTGGTATTATGGTCGTCAAACGTATGATTTGACGGTGTGAAGGAAGTACGAAGAGATTTTTCGTAGATTTTTCAGTAATAATCACCGTATCTTTTTATTACAATATCGGTGATGTCGGTAACTTTGTTAGAAGGTGGGAGAGGAATTTGAAGAGCAGCGCTCGTAATTGAATTTTCCAGGGCGTGCACGCGGAGGCGCGTCGATCTCGCCGCCCCTCGAGGGGTGGCTCCGTTTGTCTCTGCGGGTTGGAAGGGAGTCGAGGGAGCATGCAAACACCGCGAGATTAAAGGAACCGTCCTTCCATGCCTGGAATCGTGGCCCGAAGACACGCCGCGAGCCAACATTTCTCTCCGCAAAATTCAATCTACACTTCAACTTCGATTCTCAGAAAAATCGAAATCTTGTGTATTAAACGAAATTACCGTCGTGCACCTTTGGCGGAACGAAGCTTCACGGTTGATCGCGTCTTTCTAATCCACGGAGAAGCGCAATAATTACCAAGGCCGATCAATTATTGCGCAACGCTCGACGTGGGGCATAATTAATATAATATATTATTTAGAAGCTAGCAGTAGCGTTCGATCTCCTACTTTCATCCGGTCGCCGGCTTGCTCGAGAAGGAAAAAGAGCGTCCAATTACCGAGCATTATTACCACTACCGATTAATTATAGAGAAAATAAAGATAGCTCGCTAGGTTACTCCGGCCTGCTGATCCTGAATAATTATCTCTCCCCGGTACGGATTCCTTATTGCCTGTTAATTATTCCCCGGCCACTATGTACACACGCGTACACCACACCGGCTGTGCATGCTAATTAATGCAAATTTCTTGCTCGACGAAATCCACGTGAAATCGTACGGATCGTTTCTAGTAGCTCGGAGAGGCGAAAAAGATTTCTCATCTTAGCGCGATCCTTTTTCTAGCGCTTCGAACTTGGCATACGGTAAGAATGGAGGGTCGTACGCGAGGTCAGCGGCCATTCTCTGATGATATTGATTAGCCGACGCCCTTAGTTAGCGCCAGCCACACTTTCTTTCCTCTCTTCTGCGTTCCTCTTCTCTCGACCACCCTCCGACCAACCGTTCGAATCGCCACCAAGGACCACGGTTTCTCCACCCTCCTCTTCTCTGCTTCTTCTCCCTTTCTGTCTTTATTCTTCTTTGACTGCAGACCAGGAAGTTCGGTTTCTCGCCGTCGTTAGCAGAGCAGGGGCGCGAGATCAGGACGGAGAGAGACAGGCGAGGACAAAAATCATTCGTCAAGCAAATAACGCGGGGGCTGACTCACGTCTCACGCATGCGGGATGATATTTGCGTGCAGGCTCCGGTCACGTACGGGGTGGCTGGGAAATCCCGATTTTACCGCTGTGATTCCACTAATTTTTCCCTCGTTTCTGTCAACTTTTCAAATACTGCGTTTGTGAACGTTGGAAATTTTAGTGTAATGGAAGTAGAGAACTTCCTCAGAATTTCTGCGATAGATTCTGTCTTATTTCTATTAATTTTCGAAGCACTGTCTTTTGAATAATTCCACAGGCGAATCTTGAAAATTTTGACATAACGGAAGTAGAGAACTTCCTCAGAATTTCTGGATAGATTTTTCTACCCTTGACAAAGGAACGAGAAATATTTCCGTGGGAGGTTCAAAGTTCTATTATTGAGACGTATTTAGGAGAATTCGATACACACCGTAGATGAGCATTTCAGCGTAGGAAGGTTACGTGGCCGGGGTGTAATTAGACACTGCAGGCTGGAACAACATCCAGAGGCAGGCATTGTTCCCAGAAATTAAGGGAAACGGGGGAAAGCCGGGAAAACTAGGAGAAATAGGGGATTCGGAGGGTTGCTAATTACGCGGCTCCGTGAAGGGGGAGAAGCCATTTTCTCTGCAGACACAAAGACCCCACCGTTATATTAATGCGACAAGAGGAGAGGGATGGGAAATTTGTTTCGGGAATTTCTTTTGCAATTTGATCCTGATGCTCGATAGAGAATAATTTCTAGCTGCTTGTTGTTCTTCTGAATCATCCTTGTGCTTATAGTATCGTTCGTCAAGAGTTACAGTAACGTAACGATCGAATTTTGTCAATTTTACAGGAAGATAACAGCGAGGGTTCAATTAACCTGGATTTTCGTCTGATTTTTACAGGTAAAATTTGGATAGGCGATAACGAGGTCGCGTGGCGGACAGAACAGTCGTTCAAGAGGACCTCACCCTTAAATCCCTGCGCTACCACGACTACCACGACAACGACAGGTGGCGGAGCACCGGCACACCCCCACCTGTCGCCACCCATCGCTGCCCCCGTGACCACTCCCGATCACAGGAGCCCCAGCAGCCTCCACGTGAAACTTGGTATCTCTCCTGGTGAGTACACGTCCGCCATATACTTGAAACATTCGTAGAAGAGTTATTTCACATTCGTGGAAGCTTCAGTTCTCAACCCCTTAACACTCATGTCTGTCTTTTTATTATTTTCTTTCACTTTTCCAATTGCGCTATCCCTTCTGTTCCATTTCGAAAATGAAAGTCACAGGAAGTAATGAAAAAAAATAAAATTGAGAGAAGAATGTGAAACATAAATGAAAATTACCTTTCGATTTTTGGACATTCGTCAACTTTCCTGAAATTGTCTCTTCAGAGATTTTACACACTCTAAGATGCCATTTCTTAAGTTAGCACGATAAAAATGGACGAGAGAACCTTTTTATCGTACCGAAAGTGCGAAGAAAAACAATCGAGCAAATCCATATTACTTATGCTTGCAAATGCTCGATAAGATCGCGATCCACCGGGACCGAAGTGTAGAGGGAGGTACGGTTTATTCGTGAACGGTGCCAGCACTCCGAAAAACCGAAGGGTCACCGGCTTAAAGCGGCCTTAAAGCGGGGAGCTCTTTAAATAATGCAATAAGCTTGATGTCATTTGCCGGACAATGGAGGGGAGAGGAGTTTCCTTTTAGGGAAAGGTCCAGCGAAATTGCCCCTCGCAGGTGCTCTCTCTCTTTTCCTCCGAACCCTCGGCTTCCTTTACTCCGCCAATCACGATTGCTCGATTCGCGATGCTCGTCCCGTTTTCACTTGCGCCGATAATTGCCAACGATAACCGTTACCGTTTTTATGCCGCGTTATGAAGTCGTGATATACGGCGAAGGGACCGCTGATTCAGGAAGCTTGAAACGTCTCTCCTCCGATGGATCGATCACTGTTTTACCTCTGGCTCGCGTGTGTACCACGATACAGAGCCTTTTCTTAAATTGGCCGCGCAGCGAAATTAATCATTCAGGCGAGATTGTGTACTTGGAGAACCAAAGAAGGCAGGGGAAGATTCTTCTTTCGCGTGGATAATCGAGCAGTAAAATCTTGGCCGTTTTCGTCCGTGCGCGTTTTTTAAGTTCGACGACGGAGAATCGTTTGAAAGTATCATCATCGATCGGCTTCGCTTCTTTTGCAATTTCATTTCATACCATTATCTCTTAGCGAAATTCCATTTTCCACCGATTATGCATGTATGAGTCCATCGTACGCGTTAATTGCTTCCGCCCAGACATTCTATCGGAATTAATTAACCACACTTGCAACTTTTCTTCAACGTCTGCGTGCGCAGGTTCATTGTCTCCGAAAAGGATAACCTTTTAAATGTATTAAAGCTCGATAGAGATCGCTGATAATTCAGGATTCTTACTAATCTGTCGATTTAGACACTTTACCGTTATCTTTCGCTCGATTTTCGAAAAACTAGAATAGAAGAAGGAAGCATCGATAAGGGAATAATCGGTAGAGTGGCCGAGAAGAGGCGTTGCGCTAGAAGTGCGGCATCGCGTCGCTATCGATCCGAACCGGATGCCGGTCGAAGAGCGGCGTACGAAGGCGAATTCATCCCATGGAACTCCTTTCGTTTGCTTAAATAAACATTGCTCGAACAATAGCGTTGGCAGGGGTGAACGATCCAGGGCTTCTTTACTCGATACGAAAGCCACGAGACGAAGAGAAAAAGAGAGAGAGAGAGAGAGGCCTTCGCCAGGACCGGTGGTGGTCGATCGTAATCGTCTGTTTTATTCTGGTCGAGCCTGGGGATGCAAATGGTCGTCCGGCGGACGGTCAAATAAATTTGCATATTAAGATATATTTTAATACGCGTGCGTGTCCACAGTAACAAGAGAGGAAACGGCATGTTTAATGCATCGTTCAGACATTTCCATGTCAAACATCGCTTTGACTCGCGGAATTTAAAACCGTCTGGACGTAAGTAGTGGGCAAGAGGGACCAAGGGAGTGGTGCGTGTGTACCGGCTGATGGGAAAAACCGGCCATCTTTATTTACCGTCGAGCCGCCGGCTCGTGGACAAGGTGCGCCGAGGCTCGATAAGGGCGGCCGATCGATAAGGGTCGAAAGTTGAAAGCCGCGCGGTTGTAACGTGAGAACGGGTATCGTCTTCGTTCGATTAGCTCGTAGGGGTGTCTTTGCGGGCAGACTTCTTTCGGGTATTACGCGTGAAAGTGATGCTGTAAACGTAGTTGGAATAGTTTCTTTTTCCTATCGAGAAGCTAGGTTTTTGGGAATATTTTCGGGGTTAGAGGAGCCAGATGAAATGTGCGTGAGAAGGAATTGAACGCATTTTTGCAGGTCTAAATGGTCCCTTTGAGTCTTAGTCAGAGGAAATTCTTGAATTTCAGATGCGAAATAAAAGAAATGTTTATTTCTCTAAACAATGCTGTATGACTGATAAATTGGCACGTTATTCAGCTTGATACAAATTTCATGTTGTACGATTGATAAATTCAGTTCAATATAAATTTCAATTGTTAGACAAGTTGAAAATGTTTTAGCTAACTTAAAAAGAGCTCTGGAATACAAAACAATTGTCAGCAATATCCGAATACAGAAGGAAATTAATGCAAAATTTTGTGAAACACTGCACGAACGGTACAATAGATATTTCTCACGCAAGATGTATAGAAATTTAAAAAGAACGAAAGAACTAGGAGCAAGTGGTATTTCGTTGGTAGATTCTCCCTTTAAGACAGGATACAGGGCGAGGAGCGAGGTCTCTCCGAGTCTATTTGCCTCGCAAAGCTATCCCGCCTAGCTGCCAAGTGTGTTTATTCGGTATATCAATAAGGACGAAGTGGACGAGGTTCCCCAAGGGTTTCGTTCTCTCGCCGCTCGCCTCTCTCTCTCCGCTGGACAGCTTGATAACATTATGTTTCTTGCGCCGACATATGCAGTGGCCAGTTTTTGAGAAACGAGGGATATCACCCCAAAACGACGTGCACGAGCCCTCTCCCGTGGACATGTGTCGAAACGATGATCCTTTCGCCTCTGAAAGCCTTTCTATCAACCCTTGGTACGGACCTGTGGAGAACTATAAATCACCGTAGTAATTAAAAAGAGGGGGATTGCGAACGAAAGTGTATTTCGATAATGTAATTTCTCATCGATCGGTCGTTTGTTTAAAGTGGAAACACGGGAAGAACGATAGAGAGATAGTTGAGGATGGTACGAAGAAGAATTGCGAACAAGTGCCTGTTAAAAAGTAATCTTTGAAGTCAGTGAACTGTGTAACGTAGTCTCGTCGCGTGTAAATTACGCTGTCCGGTTACGGAAGGATCCTTTCTTGCCGTTCTCGGATGTATCTCTCCCCTGGGACGATCATTCTTCTCCCCGGGATCGCCCTCTTCCCTCTGAGGTATTTAAATTCCGTTTATTCGGCGAACCCCGGGCAAATTATTTCGAGTGTCCTACATCGACGTGTCGGAGACGTTGAATCAAAGTGTGCAAAAGAATTGTATTAATAAAAGCAATTGTCACATTTTTCTCGCGTTAATTGTTACGTTCGTGATATTTTCACCGGAGCTTTTCTCGTGTAACTTTTTAAAGGGCTTTTCAGAGACATTTTTCGGAGACATTTTTCAACGGTGGCACGGGACCATTCGTATTTCCATTTCGCCGTGCAGTTTGAAATATCGAGCAGCGGCCATATGCGAGCCAATAACCGAGGCTACACGTCGCTGGTGTACACGAACGTTTCATATAAGGCGGCGCAGGGGACGCGCACCGGGCGAGAAAGGGTGGCCCCGTGAAATATTGGCTACATAGATTTCGACCATTATTGCCGCGTGTAAAACACGGCGACATTTGGCGCTAAATCGATCAGGCTGCGAGCGCCGTGTCACTGCTTTGCTCGCTATTTCGTGGACCGAGGGAATGTCTGGCGAACGATTCGGTTCCAATTTCTCGGTAGACAGAGATGGACATTTGTCTTTCGATGCAAAAGAATTCGAGTCCATCGTCGATTTAAAGTAGACGTAGATTAGGGTGTCTGAATAGCACGATTTTCGATTCACCCTTTGTAACCCGATTTTTCTTCGTTCACGGGAAGAAAAATTACGATTGATTAGAATTTGAAATTTCGATGGATAATTATTATTGAGTGTTGGGAAATGGGTTTTAAATAAACTGTTTTCAACTTTCGATATTGAGATATTTTTATTTTCTACGCGATGGAAGTGACTTCTTTCTATTTCAAATGTCTTTAGAGGACTGACTCTACCGGGCGCGCAGAGCCGGTAACATGAGGCACCGATGACCTCATTTAATAGGGGTGCGTTATCTCCTTTCTCATATAAACAGATGAGAAACCGCATCTCCGTTCATCACGGAAAGAGATTAATTTTTGATTTGATTTATAACAAAAACCAACATTGAGGATCTTCAATTTGCGAATAAAGATTGACACAATCGACTGCAGAGAAGAAAAACGTTTATTGATATAAATGTAATACAAAACAACGGAGGCGAAAACCCGAGTGAGAAACAGGTACTCAGTTCGGGGTTGTCGCACGACTGCTTAAAATGCGAAGAAACATTTGTTATATACTTGGATCGGAACCACGGTCAGCGGACCCATGGCTTTTATGGCCCGGCCTGGGCCTACGTTAAGGAGAGAAAAATTCAAAATATAATCTATTCTCAATAATTATAATAAACAAAATTGACTAGCGATTATTCTAGGGAAATCTCACGTGCGTGAGTTGGGCTTCATCGCGGCAATTCCCTAAAATATAAAATAAAAGGCGACATGTAAAACACAGATTAACGCGTGTTCCGAGTCACACGGCGTTGCAGAGGGTGAAAGAATACTCGGAATTGTTTGTAGGAATAAGTTGGAAGGACAGCGATCAAACGGTGCAAATGGTCGTGGCGGGTACCGATGTATTTATGGAAGGCCGTGTGGCCTAAGAATAACAACGGATAAAGTATTCTCGCCATGAATATTTCGTATCTTCTATGGGGATCTCCCAGCTCGAACGTCGTTCAAATTGAATTCTGATTTAACTGGCCGCGTCTTGCCAGCACAGAAATATC